TGAAAGAACATTATTGAGAGGGTTTGATAAAAAAAATCACCAGGATGAGGGAGAGGCAAACAGTGCTTGATGCTTTAACCTTGGACTTTTCTGAGGATGATAGCATCATTATTCCGCCAATCGATGCCACTGATTTTGAGATTAATCCTGATATCATACAAGTGATATCAATTAATCAATTTGGCAGTTTGAAACATGAAGATCCGATGGTGCATATGTTGTGGTTTAACAGAATCTGTAACACATTCCGGATCAATGAAGTGTCAATTTACATCGTGAAGCTTATCTTATTCCCATTCTCTCTTCGGGATAAGGCTATTCAGTGGGTGAATTCTTTTTCACCAGGTCACTTCACCACCTGGAATGCTCTTCACTGGGCATTCATGCATGAGTATTTTCCTCCATCGGCGGTTGCGCACATCAGAACATTAATTCAAAATTTTAAGCAAGCCCTGATGGAAACAATTAGTGAGGCTTGGGATCGATACAAGGTCTTACGGAGAAAGTGTCCTACACAGTTGATGGATGCTTATGACTTGATGTTCTATTTCTACTATGGACTTCAAGTTGTAAGTAAAAAAGAGTTGGACTGTTATTCAAGGGTGGGTTCTTTTCTCGACATGACACCAAAAGAGAGTGAAACACTCGTGGAGAATGTGGTATCAAATGCTAAGAACTGGTACTACGAGACAAAATCTTCTTCCAAGACTACACTTCAAGGCACCGATCAAATTTCAGCCCTCACAACAATAATTGACAACCTGGCAACTCAAGTGAAGAATCTCAACTCACGACCAAGTCGGGTCAACAAGCAGAATCATGTTGTGGCAGTTCAGGAAGGTTTGGAGACTAGCACGGAGGCACCCATAATTGATGAAGAATTCACAGATGAGAGATGGACCTCCACTGAAAAACAAAGCTTAGTGGAACTACAGAATGAAACTGGAGAGATCTTTGAGCCAATTTCAGAGAAGGTGGAAGTGGGGGACATTTTGTGCAAAAGTAAAGTTGAAAAGGGAGAAATTCTGACATTATGTCTTGCTGAATTTGATGAAGCATCTCACGGAGAGGAGGAATCCGAAATGATCACAGTTGCATCTTGTGAAAAATTTAAAAAGAGAACTTCTGAGAAGATGAATGAAATTGAGGAGCTCCTTGATCTATTGTTGGAGACTTTGGATGTGGAAGTTGATGAAGAAGATGCACATGTTGAGGAAGAAACAAGCATGGAGGAGTCCATTGACTTTCTTCTTGATGTGATTAAAACTAGTACATGGCTCAAAACAGCCCAGATTGAAGGGGATCTGGAGAATGAGGACGACTTTCCTTATTTTATTTTGCCACCTGAAAATGAGAAAGATGCACAGGCCTTTGTTCTTGCTTGTGAGTTTTTTATGAAACAGAGGTGGTACACAAGAAGAGTCCTGAGGGTCAAGCTGTATGATCCGAGAGTTGGAAAGTCAAGGAAAAAGTGGAAAAAAAAAAACGTCAAGCTAGTGACGTTAAAGAAGCGCTTTTGGGAGGCAACCCAAGTGTTAAAAAAGGAGGTTTAAAAAAAATCTGCAAAAAAAAAACAAAAAAAAAATTAATTAAAAAAAAATGCATTAAAAAAACCAAAAGAAAAATGTTTTCTTTTCTTTTCCTTGTTTGTGTGTTAGTTTTAATACATCATTATATTTTGTTTGCTTTAGCTTTTTCAGGTTAATCACCGGAGTTCCCCAATTGGATTAAATTTTCATTTGTGCTTGCTCTTTCAAATCTTCTTCAATGTTGAGCACAAGGGGAGTACTTCTTACTTTTCTCTATGAATTTTTACCCTCCACGAGTGTTTATTTGTGATTCATCTTAAGTGTGAGGAGGGTACTTTAAAAAAATGCAGATTTGCCCTGTTTTATTTTGATTTTATTTTGAGACCTCGAGGACGAGGTCTATTCTCAAGTGTGAGGAGGGTTTGGAACAGGGCAATGGACTGATCTAGTGTGCATGACAAGAGGCTCAGGTGAACTAAGTTAAAATCGATAAATAAGCTAAGGTGTAATCTACTTTAACTAATTTTTTTGAAAGTTTTGTTATAACTAATCTTTTTATTACCATTATACTTTTAAAAAAATCTTTAAATATTAGGAGATATGATTGATTTATACTTTGAAGTTGTGTGCACAAGTTTGGATTTTTGGTTTGAATGGTTGTTCGGTCTTACTTTCTTTTCATGGATATATACAATGCTCCTTGGTTAGCTTAAAATTTAAATTCTTTGGATTAGGGAGAATTCTATCCTCGAATGAGGCTCTCCTTTTAGCATTTGATAGAATATCTCTCGCTATTCTGGTTGTACTTGATTATTGATTTGAGAAGTGTCTTCGTTGGGAGTCTCATCTCCGAGAAGGGGCGCTGCTCTTCTCATTATCGTATTCTGCGAGAGTTGAGTATATTTTATATATTTTATGAGATAGCCCCACAAATCAATGATTTAGTTTAACCATAAAATTCATACCAACTTGGTTTGGTTTATAGCTCCCCCAAGTTCAAAAAAAAAAAACAGAACAAAAAATTTTTTGCTAGGGGAGCTAAAACTGTTTTTAGAACTGGAGCTTGTGTGTATTCCATGACTAGTTAAGGATGACTAAGGGTTTCTGAATGTGAATGGTGACTTGTGCTCATAAGTACTTAGTAGCGGTTTTTGCGTATATACTAGTATTAAGAGATTTTTTTTAAAGTATGTTACGTTGTCCCATAAAAGTTGAGTTATTATTGTGCTTTCATGGAAATATAGTTAGGTAGATTGGAATTTTAGCCTATTGAATATTGATTCGGCGTGATCTTGAGCCCTTGAGTTGTGCGCACTATAATCAGTTTGTCTTAAAAATTTGTTTGAGAGTAGTTTTGTTGCTTGAGGGCAAGCAACACTTAAGTGTGAGGAGATTGATAAGTCTGATTTGTTCATATATTTTCACTCACTTTTTATAGCGTTTCTTGTTAAACTCATGGCAAATTGATACATTTTTCTGCGTTTTTATTGCATTTTTGTTAATGTTTGAAATTAGCGATTGAAATTTACATTTTTAGTGATTTGTGCTTAGTTTAAGTGTTTGAGTTGGTTTTGTTTTTGTTTTTCACTTGTGTTATTCATATTTTGTAACGTGTCAAATGGAAATATGTCAATGCTCTTTTATTAATACAAATAACAAATGAAGTACATTAATTAATCAAAAGAAAGCACCAAAAAAAACTGTAGCCAAGCTGCGTGAAGAAAAAAAAGAAAAGCAAACAAAAAGAAATTAAAACAAATGAAAAGAAAGATGAAGGGACGGATAGCTATCAACAGCAGGCCCGCAGCGTGGGATATCAAGGAAAAGAACAAATAAGGGGACAGCTGCTAGAGAAAAAAAGTCAGATGCGGAATAGAAAGGTCACCTGCTGGGGAGGAAACAACGAGTGGGAAGAGCAATAAAGGAGTGGCACCAACCAGAGCAACGTGAGGCAGAACAGTTCACAGAAAGAAAGAAAAAAGAGCTCTTGGCCTCAGGGCTAGGGCAGAGCAGAACCCACCGGGCTAGAGAAGAGAAAAGGCCGTTAGCGCAGAGAAGGGAAAAGGAGAAAACTTCTGCTACTGGAAATTCGGTTTATCTTTTTCCATCTTTTCAATTCCAATTCTAGTTTCATGTTTAGATTCAAGCTTCAATAAACTTTCAGTTTTAATTCATGAATTATTTCATATTCCTAATTGTTGTTTACTTGGATTATTGGATACTTGTGTTGTTAATTATGTTTAATTACTATTTAGTTTCATCTACAGATTACTCTAGCTCTTTTATTAATTGTATTAGTTTCTTGATAAACATGTTAGGCTAGAACTCAATGGGATTTGGATTTGGATAAAATTAAGGTTAATGGGTGTTCTTGAGTATTGAATTGAATTTAGGAATTTTCTCCAATTTTTAAGACTAGTTGTTTGAAATGAAGTTGAATGCGTAATTTGTGAAATTGATCACTTCACTTTTGAATTTTTAGAAGATTAATTCTTGCTTGTCTATGAGTGTAGAATTAATTTAGCTCACATGTCACACACCCTAAACTAAGCCTAGAAATAGGACATGTTAGGGAATTAAAAATAAATTCTTGTCTATGAGAATTAATGTTACTATTCTTAGATTGGAGAAAATACCCAAATTTATATATAATCAAAGACACCGAAGATCCTTAATTCCAAATCTAAACCCCACTTTTAATTAGTTAATTTATTGTTACTAGTCACATTAAATTTACCTTTTAGCATTTTATTTTCAAATTTTTTTTCATCCACATGTTCGCTAGTTTAAATTAGTATTTTAATTTCTCTCTCAATTTATTTTGCATGTTCCCTAGTTTTAGTTTACTCATTAATGTCATTTAATTAAATTCCCCGCTACTACTTTTGTTGTTTAATTTTATTTACTTAACCATTATCATAATTAATCGATTGAGAAAGCTTGCAACGACTCGTACTAACCGGTGACCGATATTGAAACCAACACTTCCCTCCGCCACTCCTCAGAGACACGATGCTCGGGGATAAATTTTTCCATCCGGAAAGGTTAAACTCCGTTTTACTACAACGCCGCGAAAGCGGTTATCACACTGCTGTAACCGAGCATTCTAGTTCATTGGATGCAAGGTTACCTGTGTTCTAGCGATAGGTCTCAGGTTCGAGATCCGCTAGCCACATTTAGGGAAGATGAGGGATTGTCTCTCAATGATTCTTTCTACCTTCACGGAGTTGCGCAGCGGTTAAGAAGGGAGAAGATGAAAATTCAGGCTCGAGTTCGTGTGGTGGGAGGACCTTTTCTGGACTCAATTGCAAGGTTAAAGGCCATTTTGTATTCAGTCGCAAGGGTGTCCTAATGAATTTGTCCTGTAGTACCAATACCAACGAGCCTAATTATGATCAGATCCGGATTTACCTGTCAAAAAAATATATAGAAAGCATAAAAATATGCAAAAAAAAATGCAGTCTCTAACTTCTGACACGGTAGAAGTTACATGCTCCTATATCTTCTTCCTTCTTGTCAAAGACAATAAATTTTGTCATGGCAGTCTCTAACTTCTGACACAAGTTGACCATTTCTCCTACACATTGATTTGAGCAGGTGTGGGCACTCCTTCTTTTGACCTAAACCTCATAAACCCTCGTCATCTCCCTCCCTTCTCCATCTCTACTGCTGACGTGTTTCAAATTTAGAGATTGAAAGCTTTTCCACAGTTGACGAAAAACAGTATGGCGAGCTCCCAGTTCCCAGACGATTTCCGGTGCCCGATTTCACTTGAGATCATGACCGACCCGGTTATTCTCTCATCGGGTCACACCTTTGACCGCCCCTCCATTCAACGGTGGCTAGACGCCGGTCACCGGTCTTGCCCGATCACCAATTTACCCATTTCCGACCCTCCCTCCCTCATACCCAATCACGCTCTCCGCTGCCTCATTTCTAAGTTTACCCATGTCTCCTTGCCCATACCCGAGACCATTCCCGATCCGCAGGCCCTAATCCAGATCCTGATTTCCAAATCCACTCCGTTGGGATCCAAGCTCAGCTCGATCGACCAGTTGACCAAGCTCTGCAAGCGTGACTCGGCGATTCGCCGTCGGCTGACCGAGTCCGGCGTGGTCTCTGCTGTGTTGAACTGCGTGGACGCAGACGGAGACTCCGGATTGCAGGAGAGCGCCCTCCACTTGCTTCTCAACTTGAGCCTGGACGATGACTGTAAGGTCGGGTTGGTCGCGGAAGGCGTGGTCGGGAAAGTCGTCGCGGCACTCCGCGGCGGTGCCGGTGACTCCCGGGCAGTCGCGGCTACCGTTTTGACGAGCCTCACGGTTGTGGAGGTCAACAAGGCGACGATAGGAGCTTACCCTGATGCAATTGAAAGCCTCGTTTGGCTTCTATGGTACGGAAGTTCAAGGGAGAAGAAAGAGGCGGCGACTGCTTTATACTCACTCTGTTCATTCCCAGATAATCGTCTCCGGGCAGTTGAAAGTCAGGCCGTCCCGATTCTCATACAGAATTCCAGCTCGGGCCTTGAACGGGCCGTTGAAGTTTTAGGGTTACTAGCTAAATGCAAAGAAGGGAGACAAGAAATAATGAAATATGGGTGTTTCTTAGACACATTGTTGGATTTCATAAGAAATGGATCTTCCAGAGGCGTCCAATACGCCCTCTTGACTATGACAATGTTATGCAATTCCAGTGAACGTATGTGCACAGAGGCCATTATAAAGGGAGCTTTTGAGGCCTGTTTTGAACTGTTGGAGGATGAGAATGAGAAGGTGAGAAAGAATGCCAATACTCTGATTCTGGTTTTGCAAGGGAAAAAGGGAGTCTTTAGTAGAAATGGAAGGTATTGACACTGCCATTTCACGATGATCCCGGATCGTGGAGGTAAGTTCGGTTTTTTTGCCCCTTTTGTACAAAAAGATGGGAATTTGGGGGAGAAATCTTGTTCTTCTGTTGTATACTATGTATTTATTTACCAATAAAAGTTTATATGTGAAGGCCTACTGCTTTCCCTGTCTATCTGCCGTGTTTAGTGAAGATTCAATTCAAAGCCAATCCTCCATTACTCTTTTTGAATTCCACTCATGTCATCAGTGTTCATAATGGGTAGACTTCCTACGTTTGAGGAAGTGAGAAGGAAATTACACTGTAGAGTGGAAAGAACAAGAAGATGATGAAGCAATGAAGCATTGTAAGGGATTCGGTGATTTAGGGCTTGTTGCATAAATGTTAGTTGTTGTTTGGCGAAAATGGACAAAACTGTTAAATAGTTTGAAATTAAAATTGTTCTGTAACATCCATTGTAGTTCTAGCCTAACAGGAAGGTCTAAACCTCTACTATTCAGTTGATAAGCAAAAGAAGCGGATTTGTATGTTTAACATTAATGCTCATTTCATATTACAAAAGGTGCAGACTTTACTCACTCAAGCGGCTCAACATAGTCATTATTCCTTGTAAGTGGACATGTTGGGTTACAATGTTGTCTTTCTCACATTCATTGTAATTTGCAATTTATGGAGCACACTGCTTCTTTTGGCTATTGGTAACAAATAGCGTATAGGCCAAAAAGTGCCAAAGTGTTTCTTGTTTGCATACTATAATTCCTTATTATTGTTACAGGATTCATTCAGCACGCTTTCTTACCATTTTGTCCTGATTTTGAAGTTCACGTGACTCGTCTTTATCAATCCTCCAAATTAATTATCAAGCAAGTTGTGGAAATAGCAGTAGAGAATATGGATCCGGTGTTGGCGTCTTGCCTTCCGATAGCAGGGTGCACGGTTTTTATCAACCTTCCGATAAAAAGTCAATGGTAGTAGACCACACAAACTTTACTAAATTTGATACAACACAATCTTAAAGAGATGAACAGAAAATTAAAGATAAGACCATTTTAGTGGGACACAAGGAGTCCTAGTTATACATATGTAATACTTTGGGTATATACGTAGTACTAGTAGATTCATTGTTCCGATGTGATTCCACCCGACACGATTCTACCTTAAAATATGATTTGATTCCGCCCTTGAATACCTAAGTAACAACTAACAACTTTCAGTTTTAAGCTTTAAAATACTTAGCTGAATCATCTATGAAAACACACCTCTGAACCTTTTTTTTTAACAAAAACTTGGAAAACGTTTTTTAAGTTTTCCAAAACACTCCCTAAAAATATTGGATATAAACTTTGGTGGTGCGGATTTTTCACGTTATTCTCATTCACGTGGGTCCAATGCATTTTTGGACATGGCATATCCGAACTGCTAACGTGTTTAAAATCCTCAAGGGCGGGCCGGCGCCTTATCGCGCTAGCTTCCGTGTTTGCACAAATCACACATTTGTTTATTGCACACTATCAATCATACAATTACGGACTATTCTTGACTTTTTAATTTCATTACTTTGGACCCATTGTCCCATTTCATTATTAATTCCATTACAAATAGTATTCGTTTTGTTTTGTTTTCAACGCAGCCTCCATCACGGTTTGCGCTGAACTTTTGAACAATAATAGTACTTCTGTTACTAGCTTATTTAAACTTTTAGTATATATGTATAATGTATAATGTCAGAAAAGATCAGGTCCCTCCGGAGGGACGGGAGGGACCGTCCGAACTTTACTGTTTGGGGCGGTTCCCGGTGGAATTTTTTGATGAAATTTTTTGAGCATGTTCTTCATCAAGTCTAGTTTGTCCATACCAAATTTCAGCTCAAAATTCGACCGGGAAGGCATTCAAATCATTTTTTGAAGTTGACTGCATTTTTATATGTATATTTTGGCGCAGTCAACTTCAAAAAATGATTTGAATGCCTTTCCGGTCGAATTTTGAGCTGAAATTTGGTATGAACAAACTAGACTTGATGAAGAACATGCTCAAAAAATTTCATCAAAAAATTCCACCGGGAACCGCCCCAAACGGCGGAGTTCGGACGGCGCCTCCCCGTCCCTCCGGCTGGACCTGATCACTTCTCTGTATAATGTATTCAGAGAATCTGAGGCCTTTTAATAGAGTATCAGATCCAAAGAGATTCATTGCCATGAAAGGAAAATAATGATGATTACGATCAATCAATGAAAAGACAATGTTCATATATTAGAGTATCTCCAATGCTATTCTTTTGAAAGAAAGTAAATTTTGTCAAATATCACTTAAATAAAGTAGTGTTTATCCACATAAGATACACATTAAAAGAAATAAATAAGATGTGTCCAATGCATGATTTTAACATACGGAGTATTAAATACGTAGTATTATATACTTCGTACTTGTCATTTAATATTAAAACATTCGACTACATCTAAATTCTTGTTGCAAAAAAACCCCATATAAACAAACTATAGAATCCTGTGGAGCCATATCATACTTCATGCCGTCCATGGCAGAAGTTCACCGAAAGAAAAAATAAATTGGAGGAGTTTTTAGGTTTCGGTATTTAATTTGTCCTTTTTTAATGTTTCTTCAGCTCTTTAATTTTTTTTCTTCAGCTCTTCTACGATTGTACCATGAAGTCACCTCTGCATAATTAATTTTGATTAATACAGGAAACAAGTAGCAAATATAAAAAGGACCCGTCATTACTAGAACTCTCACCGGAAGATAGTTTGAGTTTGTGGGTGAGGCGGTAAATTATTTGCCGGAAATAGAGATAGTGCATCTTTTATTTTTGCGGAATTCCGGGAATTGTGGGAGAATGCCTCCTCCACAGCGTTAAACTTGCTTTCTGAATATCAACAGAGGGGATGAAAGTGTTGAGTCCATGTCAGATTCAATGGGCTCGTGAAAGAATGGGTTGGGGACTAAAAATTCATCGCACTTTGTAAATTAATGATGTGGCAAATTTATTTAATGTCAAAAAAGGTGCATTGGAGATGCTCTTAGGAGATGTACAAGAATGTGTCTAAAATGTTGTTAGTTTTCCTAAAATAGACCATTATAATTGATATGACCAAACATAGGTTACTCAATCAAAAATACTCCTCCCGCTCACTCCCTCTCTCGACTCCCTAGATCTCCTGATCATCATCTTCCTCCTCCTTTTACCCCCACTCCAGCTTTAAATGGTTTTTCCCTTATATGAACTTGTGTTTGTCTAAATTCTATATGCAAAGAGCAGTTTTAAGTTGACAATGCGGGAGACTTAAATACTGTAGCGATGTCGTGGGGAGGAGTTATTAGTGAATAACTGAGCGGTTTTGGGGGTTTAGCCCATGCTAGTGGCGCTGTCACCACTAGGTAGTGGTGGGGGTCGCTAAGCGAATAGAGGGATTTGACTTGTGTGCTAACAGTGGGTGGGAGCCCCCCCGATGTCGAGGCTATAATACCCTATGGGATAGTGGTGATTTGAATAAACCAACAATAATTCGGTGTACACACTTTACATTTTACATACTTGCACTCACTTAACCAACAAAATATATTTTGTCTGTGATAGATAAAAAAGTCTTCACAGACAATGTGTACAAGTCACAAGTGTATAATGTGAGTTTTCTCGCACATAAAATAGATTATAGTAAAAGGTAGAAGTACGAGTATCATCTCCACAGGGACGGACAAAAAGGAATTAGGAATTAACTAAATTCAGCGATAAAAAGAAATAAAATAAAAAGCAATTGTGCGAGGTTGATTGTCGGAAAATTAAAATGCGAATAAAACGATTAAACTAAAGGGTTCTTTCTAATTAATGAGGAAGGGAACATGGATTGATTCTGGGGTATTCAGATTTCTGGCAGATCACTCTCAATCACATGAATATGATTTAATTGAGCAACACTAATCAATACAACTTTCTAACCGCTCTCAAGGCATAGAGTACAATAATTTAGGCAACCGGGTCGATCTCTCATGCGACAGGCATCTAAAATGATTGCCAAAACGAACGAGCGTACAACCCCTTAATCGCTACCAATCTCTTAGCGAATGATTAAGTGTGTGTAAAGGTGTCCTAGAATAAACTAGATCTCTCTTAATTTATTCTACTAGCAATTGTAATTCAAACCGCGGTTCTAGCTTACAAGAATGTTTGTAAATTGTTTGGTGGAACATAGCTGAAATTGGCCTTCCACTAGATCCACCCATGATCCCAAAAAAAAAGTGTCACTGGGCAGTGTCAGTGACTCAGTGGTGCTCACGTCGTATTTCAGTTTTAGTAAGAATAAAATATACGGAGTAATAAAGAATACTACGTACTACGTATTATATCCCCCTTTAAAGAATTTTATACGGAGTAATTCGAAAAACATGCACTTTAAGAATTATTTACATTGAGAGCAAATATTGCTACATTATTTTAAGGACCATTCTTGGTGTACACAAGTTGTACACAAAATGTGTACATTGCTTGTGTACACAAACAATTAGGAGGTTTTGTGTACAACTTGTGTACTAACTAAGCATTTTTCTTATTTTAAGACTTTTTGACTGTTTAACGATACTGTCAACGCTTTCTGACTGTTTAACTATGTTTGACAGTGTACATATGTAGTATTATTCAATTTTTTGATTAACCATTACCCTTTTGTACGAGTATTATAGTAATGATAAGTTCATAAACTCAATTGAGAGCCCGTTTGGTAGCACGAAAATCGGCTGTTTTGGCTGATTCTGCTGAAATTAATGAAATTCTGGCTGAATTGGCTGTTTTGGCTGATTCTGCTGATTCAAGAAAAAAATATTTTAAAAATATATTTTATTAATAAATTATAGAAAAAATTACATGTAAAAATAGCTAAAATAGTCCTCTACAGTAACTTCAGCCAATACAGCCAGAAAAGTAACTCCAACCTTACTTTTTCTGCTTATTACACAATTCAGCACACAAAAGTAAAAGTTACGTGTTTGGTGAAAAAGCTGGCTGATAAGCCTGATAAGCCGAAAAAAGAGGTCTCCAAACGGGCTCTGAGTGATTAACTAAAAAGCAGTTAACCAAAATCTGCCACCAACCCACCACTACGCACATCATCTATACTCAACCAATACATTAAGGGTTTTTTTACAATAATATTACTAAAATAAAACATATTTACTTAAATATGACTATTCATTACTACAATGTGGTGTTGTGGTAACTTAAGCTCAAAACTTGAACATGAATTACTATGATGATTTCATTACTACTCTAGTCACTAATCATATTTTTGTAAATCATCTTTATTTTGATCATATTTATGTAATTATTTCATGCATTAATGAATGGTCTGTAGCCTTATCTGGATAACTCTCTCCATGGATTTGCAGGGTCAGACAAAAAATGAATTTGACAATTAAAACTTGCAAGTGAATGAAACTTGCAAAGAGCATCTACATATTGTACTATGTATTTAATATTGTGGAGAAAAACCTATAAAAATGCGTAGTATATAAGATCTTTCAAATGAGTAAAAAGGTATTGTATTTATAAATTTTACGGGATATGTCTCTCTCTCATGCCACATATGCATTGTTCACATTTTGGCATTGGAGCTGATCAAATGTACATTGTATACTTGTATTGTTAATTAAGTACATCTGACGAGCAAGTAAAGCAAGAATTACGATTGATGTTACTTTTATAGCTGAATTGACTGAAATTACTATAGAAACCCACTTTAGCAATTTTAATATAATTTTTGTTTATTTTATTGATAAAATATACTTTAAATATAATTCTTTCATAAATCAGCGGAATCGGTCAATCCAACCACATCAACTATAACTTTTTAAATTTTAGCAGAATATACCGATTCAGTCAATTTTACTGTTATCAAACGGGCTCTTAGCGTACATGCATATGCTCTTATAAAAGACAAAATTTATACAGATCTTGATTTTTTTTAGATTAAAATTCTCAATAATTTTCTTTAGATTAAAATTGAGGAAGTTGAAAAACCTTCGGAAAAAATGATAAGAATAATCTCACCTTTCATTGGTCTTCTCATAATAATCCCACCTTTACATAATCCCAGAATAGTCTCACCTTTGCACCCCATCTTCTTTCATTGGACCCTTTTTTTGAAAATCTTATATAAATAATCCCACCAATGTAGG